AAAACGCGGTTGGAAGGTCTTGAGCCTTGGGTTGGATTTCGGCATTGCTAACACCACCAAAGACCCTGAACACCAAAACCTGGAATCCGAAGCCTCGGAGCCCATGAACGCTGAACCCAACACCGCATCCCCGAAGCCTTTAACCATTCGAAGCCTGGTTTAGGGTTTAGGGTTTAGGGTTTAGGGTTTAGGGTTTAGGGTTTAGGGTTAAACTGCAAGGAAATCGTCCTTGCTGCTGCCGTTGGAAAGCTACAACTTGGGTCAGGCGACAGACCGCTTTGTCAGGGTTTCTGAAAGTCACAAGAGATTTTACGGGTGATCTGCTTTAAGAAGACTGATCTCTCATTGTTCATCAAACTACTTCAATCGTACGGTTTAGGATTGGGGTTTAGGTTTTCACTTCAGGGTTTGGCTGGGGGCTTTTGGGCTTTAGGACGTTCTTCTTTCGAGTTGAGGCACACAGATTGAGGTTTGAATATGCAGTTCCGGGAAGGCCTTGAAGCTTTGCCTTGGTCTAGCATAGATCACATTGAGGTTTAGGGTCTAGGGGTTTAGGGGTTTAGGGTTTAGGGTTTTGGGGTTTAGGGTTTAGGGTTTAGGGTTTAGGGTTTAGGGTTTAGGGTTTAGGGTTTAGGGTTTCGGTTGTTGTTTGGGGGCGTTTTGGTGGGTTTAGACTGTCGCATCATCGAGCGTGATAGAGATCGATATTCTTCTGTTTGCTCACCTCAGGCACTTCAGAAGTACCCGTAAGGGACCAAGATAAATGGGTACTTGCGGGGAGTGCTGAGTATTTGGTTGTTACTTGCAGGCACCTGGATTTTTATATTGTAACCCTAATACTGGGGCCGTATTACTTAGAATAGGGTTTTGGCGCCCACTCTACTATAATTATAGTAAGAAATAAACCTCCTCAAAAGTATCGGTAATTATGTAGGCTCCTATATTGCGTCCTAAACCTGATACAAATCCCTACACGGCAGCATGCTCAGGCTTGGGGGTTGTTGTCAACTGTTGTTAGACTGCTGTCTCAGGTCTAAGGGACTGATAGTAAGGACACTATAGGTTTAGTTTAGGGTTTAGGGTTCAGGGTTCAGGGTTCAGGGTTCAGGGTTCAGGGTTCGGGGTTCGGGGTTTAGGGTTTAGGGTTGAGGGCGTAGGGTTTAGGGTTTAGGGATAGGGCTTGATCAAAGGGCATTTTGGAGTTTAGGGCTCGGAGTTTTCGGGCTTCGGTAGATGGAGTTCCTGCCAGTCATGTGCGTCAGGCGCTTCCAGTGCGCATCAAGCGACTCGGCCTAGGGCCTCGGAGTATTGGAAACTAGCCCTGGGTCCTAAGCCTACAACCCTCATGACCCTCATCTGTTCAGGCCTTTGGGGTGTATGCCCTAAACCCTAAACTCTTTCCAGCCTAGAACAAAGACTATAAATCCTAAACCCTGTGTGCAAGAAACCCTAAACCCTAAACTCTAAACCCTAAACCCTAAACCCTAAACCCGACAGAGATCAGAAATTTCGGTGCCCCGAATCCTCCAACCGATGTAGCCGAAGTCCCCAAAGCCTAAAGCACCATCGTTTAGGGTTTAGGGTTTAGGGTTTAGGGTTTAGGGTTTAGTTCCGAAAACCAATCAACCTAAACCCTAAGCGCTAAAATGCCAGGCTTCAGCAGTTTTCGGATTTAGGGTTTTGGGTTTAGGGTGTGGGGTTGAGGGCTCAGGGCTTAGGTTAGGGTTTGGGAGTTCGTTCTAGACGCTGTGTGCCTCTTCTTGGATTCTTGATCCGGTTACTGTAGGTATTAGGGTTTGGGGGGACATGCAAATCCAGACTGACCATCTGGTCTGCTTTAGGGTTGCAGATTTAAGGTTTAGGGGCTCATTAGAAGAATCAGGGCCTTCCCTAAATCCGAAACCCTAAACCCTAAACCCTAAACCCTTTTTTTTATGGCCTGAGTAAGGGCGTGGAGTTACAGGTTCCTAATAGGGCTTTTGGCTTTGGGCTTGACGATGTCGGTGAGCTTCGGGATATGGTTCGCCAGCACATCCCAGGCAGGTGCGCATCTCCAAGGGGCAAGCGCCTTAGAAAGTGAGTAAGCGAGTGAGTGAGGGTTTAGGGTTTGGGGGGTGAGTAAGCGAGTGAGTGAGTGAGGGATGGAGGAAGGGATGGAGGGAGGGAGGGAGGGAGGGATCCCGCTGCGTGGTCTGCTGCGCTGAAGGGTGCGCGGTTCTTTCACTTGTTCGATGTTCCTCTGCCGTGCTCAAACAGCACATACTTTGGCATGAGTATCAACAGGAGCGAAAGAGCATAATTACTATCCGAGTACTTGAGCACTATGTTTGGGGTGTTTAGGGCTTCTTTGGACTCTTGATCGGGGGGGGGGGGGGGGGGGGGNNGGGGGGTTGGTGTAGTGTTTGGAGGATAGCACTGAAGTAGTATTGGTTCTTTCGCGGTTGGAGTTTGGGATTTTGTGGGTGTTGTGACATGGCTTGGTGCTGCTTCTTAGTGTCTAAGGTGGTTTAATATAGCAGCTTAGATAATCTGGGGTTTCCTTATTTTTCATCATGTTGCAATGGGCCCCGAAACCCTATTCTAA